AGAGTCTTATTATCTTTCACCCATATATTTAGCTATCAAAACCCAGAGGTTTTTAAAGTATTGCTCCATTGAGAGATTCAAAGAATTAAAGTTTCTTTTCCTTGATGCTTTCTTAACCAGAAAGTTGCAAAAGTTTGTGGGGAGGAAGAAAGTGGCCTGAGAAAAATAAAATGTTCTTCAAAGCTGCTCGGAAGTTTCATTAACTTCACCTGGCCTTTGAGGAGCACTTCCCCAAAATGAGTCACAGAAAAATTAAACATAAAATTTGAGATATTCAGAGAGACGAGGATCTTTGGAAAGTTTCTCTTCTAATGCTATATATTTCAGCGGTGCCCTCTCTTTATGCCTGGTGAAGAAAGACAAGCAATTACTGTCCCAATTCCACTAATTGTATGTTACCACTTATGCTGACTGGGTTTTTTATCTAATGGTTTACAAATCATAAGCATAGCGTCTAGCTATGTACTATGTACAAAGTACCCATTGTTGTCAATATCATTATTTCTATCCTTAAATAGACCTTTTTTCTAAAATAGTCCTCCAGGGAACAAATCAGCAAATTGATTGGGTTTATTCTTTAAGAAAATCTTAAATATTAGACATGCAGTAGATGTGATGGTCAAATATCTCGGTAGCTAAACAAAAAAACAGACTAATTCATTTCTTGGTAAATGCAGATTTGGGGTAAAGATCAGTCCAATACGATTAAGAATCAAACCAAATTATGGTTGGTGGTTTATGGTTTTTTTATTAGTGTTGTGAGCCACCCAAAGTTGTGTTTAAGATGAGCAACCACACACATCTAAAATAAAATAAAATAAAATCTTATTATACTTAATAAGGTGGCTTGACTCACATGATCTGAAACCATCCATAGGCTAAGTTATCAGTTACCCAATGCCATTTTAGTCTAGTCTAGCAGGTTGTGTGAGCACAGCCTGGGATAAGGGGAAATGTTTTGTATGTCCCAGATGTTCCCAGCCCACTTCTACGTATGACCGTGTGCAATTCTGGGAGTTGAAATCCACACATCTTCAAACGGTCAAGGTCGAAGAACGCTGACTTAGACTTTCCTTTGATTCTGTGAAACTAGATCAGTGTTTCTCAACCTTGAGGTCTTGAAGATATGTGGACCATGTGCAATTCTGGGAGCTGAAATCCACACATTGTCAAGCCCAAATTTGACATAAGTGTAGCCATTTTAGTTTATCTTAGTATATATATATATATTCTTATTTTCTCTGTGGCAGTAATGGGGGGAAGGGTTTCGGGCTTGATACATTCGTAAGCGGGGAGGAGTGGAGATAGAGGGAATTATTTTGGCTAGGTGATTCTTCTTCCTGTGGGAAACAAGCTGTCCATGCTTAGGGCTCCTTGAGGTGGAGATTTATGACATCAAGCAACGTTGAATTACTTCTATTGGAGAATGTGACTTTTGGGGGATGTTTCTAACTTCTAATATTGTGGGGTAATTCCGGGTTGGGTCAGATCTGGAATTATCATGGACTTTGCCAATTTGATACTTTCCTAAATAAAAGAAATCTTTTTGAAGATGGACTTTGTTATTTTTCTTTTAACATGGATTTCATTACTTGGAAACCTGACACACATCTTCAAGTGGTCAAGGTCGAAGAACACTGACTTAGCCTTTCCTTTGATCTAGAGGACCTTCAACAATCCTTCTGGCTGTATGATTCTGTGAAACTAGATCAGTGTTTCTCAACCTTATTGTTTTGAACATATGTGGACTTCAACTCCCAGAATTCCCCAGTCAGCATGGCTAGCTAGGGAATTCTGGGATTTGAAGTCCACACATCTTCAAAGTTGCCTAGATTAAGAAATACTGAACTAAATGGATGTCCTTATTGCAGACTTCTTTTTAGTGAAAATGTGGTGCTATTCTTCGCACTAAATGTACTAGAGTTGGCAAAGGATTAATCTAGTTACATTTGATCCACTTTAGTCTAGTCTAGTGTGGTCTCTCTAAAAAAAAGCAACAAGGGTAGAGAGGAACTGCATGTTTCAAAGATCCAGAATTTTACTTTTGTCCCTACATTGTCCCATTCACACAATACCTGCTGAGTCGGAGCTCCAAAATGCGGATGCGGAACATGGCCTCTGAGCAGTAGTTCAGGTAGGCGTCTTCATCCTCTAAGGTCATGTTGAGTTGGTTCTGCTGGTACCACTGCTGCTTCTTCTGGAGTTCTTGAGTTTCCTATGCAAAGAGAGAGAGAGAGAGAGAGAGAGATGGCTGGGTTCACATGTAGGTCAATCTTCTCCATGAAGGAAAGACAAAGGAGGTGAGCATGCAACGGGCAAAGCCAAGCCTTGCAAATAAACCATATTGCAGTTTCATGGACTGCTCTGGTTCAGATAGTATTCAGACAATGACTGGGTTCCACAGTAGGCGAACACAGAACAGGTCAGCCCCACTGTGGCCTGGGCTAATATAAGTTACAGCCTTGGAAGCCATATTAGCACCAGAAGCTTCCGTGCTGCCACATTCCTGTGCCTGGGAAATTGGGAGGGGGGGCGGATTTCCTAGAGTGGATGTAGTTAGACATAATAGCATTCTCCTTCTCCGTCAAGGTCATGTCATCCTGCACTCCTGGTTGAGGAGGGATCAGAGGAATGTCTCAAGTTGGAACGGAGGGTGATTGGGCCATGTGACGGACTGAGGGGTGCGGGGGATGGGTCTTTGACTTTTAATTATTGAGGGGAAACCCGGAACTCTCAGATTCCGGTTGTCCCAGAGGTGCCAGTTTAACAACTCAAACAAAATGGAACTGTGAGAAAATGCCGTCGCGGAGTTTTGGGGTTGGAGTTGGTTTTTCTGGAACGCTGGCAATATGAGTGAACACAATGTGTGTGTGTGAGAGAGTGGAGGTTTGTTCTCCGAGCTTGTGGATATGTTTCCAGAGTTAGGTAACATCTTCAGTGGAATTTAGGGAATATCCGTATCAGTGTTCTTCTGCTTATAAGGGGTGGTGTGTTCAGTAGGTCTTGGGGTGGGAGGGTCATGTCAGGTGAGGGTCTTGGGATGGGTCAGGTGCAGGGGTGGGATTCTACCAGTTCGGACCAGTTCTATTGAACCGGATGTTATGATTCTGCCCAGTTCGGAGAATCAGCAAATTGTGCCCCCGGCTGGCCCCATTCTTCTCCGCCCGCCCGTCTGCCCTTCCTCCCACCGCCCAGTCAGTCCTTATTGTGCATACACAACATCGCTGACTGCATTCTCCCTCACCCGGTCACTCCTTAAGGTATTTCCTTTTTTTTTCCTCCCAACGATCAGCTGGCAAATTAACTTTATTCAAGGCTATACGCATCAATCTCTCTTTAAGGATTGGTTTTCCGAACCTTTTTTTCCCCCTTTTGGAATTTATCCCTCTCTTCCATGCAATTTATCATTACTTTGGGTTCATTCAAGTCCACTTCCTGGGAAACCAAGTATACATTTCTCTACCTTTAGCTTCAATAAATATTGAATATTATTAAATAAATAAATAGAATTTTATTATATAGTCGGTTTTTGGTTAGGTTCAAGGGTAAGAGATCTCCTGAGGTTTTCTGATTCCTCACCATGCGATTTCTGAATTTCTGAGAGTTGTACAGTGGTGAGATTCAAATTTTTTTACTACCGGTTCTGTGGGCATGGCTTGGTGGGCACGGCAGGGCTTGGCTGGTGTGGCTTGGTGGGCGTGGCAGGGGAAGGTTACTGAAAGATCCCATTCCCTCCCCACCCCACTAACCTACTTTTCAGCTCCGTTCTCCTGTACAGGACAACAAAAGGAGACCCAGCTGATCAGCTGAGACTCAGGAGGCAGAGAGGCCAGGGGTGGGATTCTATCGGTTCAGACTGGTTCTATAGAACCGGCTGTTAAGATTCTGCGCTGTTTGGAGAACCGGCAAATCATGCCCCTGGCTGGCCCTGCCCCTCTCCACCTGTCCCGCCTCTCCCCACCCAGTCATTCCTTATTGTGCACGCGCAACATCGCACGCATACCCAACATCGGTGACTGCGTTCTTCTCTGCCCAGTCACCAAGGTGTTTCTTTTTTTTCCCCTCCCGACAATCAGCTGTTCCAATGATCAGCTGTGCCAGGATCCCCCTTGCTGTCTTACCGCTTCACCCAGTAGGCTTCCCTGAGGCCCAGGAGGCCAAACAGGGGCGCTGTTGGTTTGGGCCATGGAGAGTCCAAGGTCCAATGATACACCCCACCCCCCCAGGTACCTTCTCAAACCGTGCTTGGATGAGGTTGGCCTTGTCCACGAGACGATGCTTGAAATCGTTCAGGCAGTCTTCTTTCAGGCGCAAAGCGAGCCACTTGGTCATCTTTTCAAGGCCTCCCACTTGAATGAGGAAGGGCGCCAGGTAATCCAGCTCCTGCTCCACTTGGCGCTGGCGCTCCTCTTGCTGTAGGCGCTCCTGGAGAGAAAGGGGACAGACCAACACCCTTGATGGGGAGCTGGATGGGGTAGACCCCCCCCACCATGAAATCAGTCCCAGAGAAAGGCTAAAACTGATTTTACTGAGACTGGATATAATCACAGAATAAGGGACGCGGTGTCTCAGTCTCTAAGACGCTGAGCTTGTTGATCAGAAAGGTCTGCAGTTCGGTAGTTTGAATCCCTAGCACCACGTAATGGAGTGAGCTCCCGTTCCTTGTCCCAGCTTCTGCCAACCCAGCAGTTCAAAAGCATGTAAAAAATGCAAGTAGAAAAATAGGGACCCCTTTGGGGAAAGGTAACCGTGTTCCATGCATCTTTGGTGTTTAGTCATGCCGGTCACATGATCATGGAGATGTCTTCAGACAGTGCTGGCTCTTCAGCTTTGTCACAGAGATGATCACCGCCCCCTAGAGCCGGAAACGACCAGCGCACATGTGCAAGGGGAACCTTATAATCACAGACCCTTGCAAGGCCGATTGGGGTACACCTTCTTTTCCTTCTTATAGAATCATCAAACATAGAATCCTCATGCTGGAAAGGACCTTGGAGGTCTTCTAGTCCAGTGGTTCTCAACCTGTGGTTCATGGACCTATGAAGGGCCGCCACATCATTACAGGGGGGCCGCAAAGGTTTGAAGAAACGTGATGATTTAAATCTCAAGGATCTGCTGCCACAAAAGGGATTCAAAGGGGCTCCTTGACAACGAAAAAGTTGAGAACCACTGTTCTAGTCCAACTTTCTGCCTGAGGCAAGATACTTTATACCTGGACAAAAATAGTTCAGCATTTTAGGGAAGTCTTTGTCTTGGCCCCTTCTTCTTGTTGTCGTTTAGACAAAAAAAACCCTTCAGTTCCTTTTGACTAGGTAACAGGTCCTATGTATCTCCATCAAGATCATTTTCCCTACTCTCTTTCTAACGCTGGCTTAGGAATTCTGGAAGTTGAAGTCCACAAGTCATTAAAAAAAAAGCCACCATTTCCTTCCTCTACTCTACAGGAACAAAGAAACTCAAAACCACCACAGATTCTGCTGGTCTCGTCCTTGCATCCCAGATGCACAAAGCTGTTCAGGAGTTGAGTCTATGCAGGGCGCAGAAAATATTGCACATTTAAGGCACTTGGGAAAGAGAAGAAGGATTCCTGAAATATTGAACATTCAAAACAGGGAAGCACCCTGATATTTGCAGTAAGACAGCCAGATTTTTGGCAGCCATTTTTTTTCTTTTTATTGGCTTTTTTTTTTTTTTTTTACTAATGGTTAACTAGTTTGTCTGCTTTTAACTTATACGATTAAGGGTGTTTTGAAAATACTCAGAAATTGTGCTGTGAGAATTTGACAACCATAGCCCTAAAAATCATCCATGGGGCCAGGTGTAAAACTTAATTCTAATGGGTTAATGAGGGAAGAAGATTTGCCTTTCAAAGGACTCTTCCTCACATTTTCCTCTTAAAAACCACCAGAAAAATTGGTGAATTCAGGTTTTTCACTCTGATTCCTCCTGCAATGTCTTTGTGACTTTGTCCAGAATATCATCCAGAACTTTGGGAGATATTTATTGCTCTTGGACACACAAATGTTGCCTGTGCCATAGTTCTCCTGACCTTCTCATGAACATTGGGATGACAATTAAGATGCCAAGAATTCCCATATTTCAATCCCTAATTCCCTCTATAGTTTTGATAATTTCCAAGGCTAAAAAATATTGTATAGGTTGATCCAAACCCCCCCACAGCTTACTATGGTTTCACGATGTTCTTTACTCTTCTCATTTCTTTCCGTGTCATAAATGGAGACACTCAACTTGCTAGCAGCTTCTTCCTCTCCTCGAATCCTCAGAAGCTCCAGGACCTTTGGTAGGATGGAGATAGACAATTGACCATGGAAAGCACCTCAAAGACCATCTCATTCAACTTCTGCAGGTGCAGGAAAACTAGTTTGTCAGGCTGACCCAGCTAGGGACTTAAGAAAGAGAGATCCTTGACTCCATGATTGAAGTGAAAGGTTAACTTTTTACTAAATTCAAGTGAGCAGGTTACAGCAAAAGCAAAGCTGGATTTGAATATTTCTGTGGAAAGACTACAGTTTTCCCCTCCAGAGAAGTTCCTGAGACAGGAAGTCTAGTCCTGCCAAGAATGTAATAAAGGTTAATGGGGAGGCAGTTTCTGTAAGCAACACCAGAATGTTTCCTTCCTGCTTTCTTTACAGGATTAGTCCAGTAATTTCTTATAACAACCGGTTCTCCGAACTGCTTAGAATGTTAACAACCGGTTCTAGCGAATAGGTGCAAACTGGTAGAATCCCACCCTGAATCTGGGTCGATCACCGGGACCACAGGTTTTGTCTTTGAGCTTTCAGATGCAAACAACCAGCTGTCTACAAGGAATGTAAATCCTTCCATTTCACACCATTCAGTCAGAGCTGAAGAAGTTTCTTGGATGAGAAGCGAAACGTCTTCCCAGAAAAACCAGAAAGTCAAATTGCCTCGTGAAAAAAGCACCTTCGGGACAAGCATGGCCTGGGTGACTGAGAATCTCCAAAGGCACCTAGGATTAGAGGATGGGGAAGGCATATGTTTGGAAAAAAATGAATGATCAGAAGTTCAGGATGGCAGTCTCCTTCTTGGGGAAACAGGAACTCACACCCAAAGGGAATCAAGAGAAAAGCATGAGCAACTACTTCTCTATTTATGTGTGTGCAAACACAGGGGAGTCAGGGAAAGTGGGTGAGGTTGCATTCAACCACAGGGAGACTTACCAGAAGGCAGTGCTCTGTACGCCACCCACCAGCAATTAAAAAAAAAAAATCTCCCCCACCAGTACCTCGATCTCAGATTCCCACACTAGATGGCGGGAACGTTTCTCGTCTTCAATCAGCTGCATCAGCATTTCATAGAGATGGAAGAGTTTCTTTTCTTTCTCCACAGGCCCTGCCTGAGAACAAACGGGCACGAAAGCAGATTTATGAACCCTAAAGTAGATCGTGCAAAGTAGATTCAAAGAAGATTCAGAAACAAGTCAGGCAATTGCCGATGGGGAGAACAATTTACTCAGTGCTCCTGAGATTGCTGGACCGTTGTTTTTTTTTCCCCCTTTCTGTGCACCTGTGTTTTTGAAAAATATATTTCCATTTGATCATAAAATGTATGTTCTACATTTTTCCCCGTCCACTCAATTAGGTCTAAAAGTCATGGCCCGCATTTTTAGCCTGATGCCTTAAGATTAAACCAAACTGTATAGCAATAGCCCATAGACTTATATACCACTTCATGTGGGAAAGAATAGCATTATCACTTACATATTGCTTCACAGCCCTCTCTAAGCAGTTTACAGAGTCAGAGTCGAATTCCTGACTGTGGGCAGAGTTTGCTTGCAATTCTGCATTCTAACCAAAAGGAAGGAAGGAAGGAAAGAAGGAAGGAAAGAAGGAAGGAAGAAAAGAAAGAAAGAAAGAAAGAAAGAAAGAAAGAAAGAAAGAAAGAAAGAAAGAAAGAAAGAAAGAAAGAAGGAAGGAAGGAAGGAAGGAAGGAAGGAAGGAAGGAAGGAAGGAAGGAAGGAAGGAAGGAAGGAAGGAAGAAAGGAAGGAAGGAAGGTAGGTAAATAGCAATAGCCCTTAGACTTATAAACCGCTTCACAGTGCTTAATAGCCCTCTCTAAGCGGTTTACAGAGTCAGCCTCTTGCCCCCAACAATCTGGGTCCTCATTTTACCCACCTCGGAAGGATGGAAGACTGAGTCAACCTGGAGCCAGTCAGGACTGAACTGCTGGAAGTCAGCAGAGTCAGCCTGCAATACTGCATTCTAACCACTGCAAAGGATGGATGGATGGAAGGGAGGGAGAGAAGAAGGGAAGAAGGGAGGAAGGGAGGAAAAAAGGAAGGAAAGAAGGACAATAGAGATAGCACTTATCCTGTATACCGCTTCATGTGGGAAAGAAGAGTCAGTTGCCAAGCATCTGGATTTTTATTATGTGACTGTAACAGATTAAGAGTTGGAAGGGACCTTGTAGGGCATCTAGTCCAACCCCCACCCAAGTAGGAAACTCTACCATTTCTGACAGATGGCTGTCCAGTCTCTTCTTGAAAGCCTCCAGTGATGAAGCTCCTACAACTTCCGAAGGCAACTTCTGTTCTATCGGTTGATTGTTCTCACTGTCAGAAAATTCCTCCTTATTTCCAGGTTGAATCTCTCCTTGTTCAGTTTCCATCCATTATTATTTCTTGTCTGGCCTTCAGGTGCTTTGGAAAATAGCTTGACCCCTTCCTCCTCCTCTCTGGGGCAGCCCCTCAAATATTGGAAGGATGCTCTCCTGTCTCCCCTGGCCCTTCTCTTCCCTAGACTATCCATGCTGAGTTCCTGCAACCATTCATTGTATGTTTTAGCCTCCGGTCCCCTAATCATCCTAGTTGTTCTTCTTTGTACTTTTTCTAGAGTCTCAACATCTTTTTTATAGGTTGATTATTCCCGCTGTCAGAAAATTCCTCCTTATTTCCAGGTTGAATCTCTCCTTGATCAGTTTCCATCCATTATTCCTTGTCTGGCCTTCAAGTGCCTTGGAGAATAACCTCCTCCTCTCTGTGGCAGCTCCTCAAATATTGGAAGAACCCTCTCCTGTCTCCCCTGGTCCTTCTCTTCCCTAGACTAGCCAGGCCCAGTTCCTGCAACCGTTCTTCACCATGGAGATGCTGTAATAGTTGTAACTGTGAAGAATAGTCATAAGACACTTTTTTTCAGCACTGTTATAACTTTGAACGGTCCACTAAATGAATTGTTGTAAGCCGAGGTCTACCTGGAATGCCAAGTATGAGATACCCCTGTACAGGGGAAAACCCAGATTTTGCTTTGACCTTTCGATACTTCCTCAGCCATGGCCAAACTGAGAAATTAACCACTAGATACACAAAGGCTAACATCTGCTTTACTTAGTTTCCTTAAACAGGAAACATCTAGCATGGCGGTGCTCAAGGGAAGAAACGTCTTATGAATCGTAAATTGTGGTCTATCTATATTTATCTGCTCCAGAACCTCAAAACAGGTGATTGATTAAATTCACTTAACAAATGTCTCACTTAACAATTTAAACTTCTGTCTCACTGTGGTCGTACATCAAGGACTACCTTTAGTTACGTCTTGCAACCATTCCTTTAAATCCCGCCCATCGTGCCAGCTTGCATCCACCATGAGCCGCGCAAATACCATATGCTTAATTCACCTGATAACTGATGCACATATCTCGGCTCATGATAATCTTATTTCCCTTGCTGTCCACATCGGTATGCTTATTAAACTCCCTCTTGGAAGGGGTGATGTAATTCTCCTTGCAGTGGTAAGTCAGAATGATCTTATCTTCTGAGATCAAAAAAACGCGTTCGGCCACATCTTCATCGGCTGGTTTGCTTGGGTTCCTGTGGAACCTCTCGGTGATTTTCTGGAAAGCATGAAAATGGAAGAGGGCAAGGTAGTGTTAAGCCACCAATATTTACCATGAGTCAGCTGGGATGGGTCCTAGAGAGTTACGTAGCTATGCTGGCCTTTGGGGGCACATCAATAATTCAACTTTATTGTCAGTATATGAGTCTTCATGAAAATAGGAGATAGCACTAGCACTTAGACTTATATACCGCTTTACAGCGCTTTACAGCCCTCTCTAAGCAGTTTTACAGAGTTAGTATATTGGCCCCAACAATCTGGATCCTCATTTTACCCACCTCAGAAGGGTGGGAGGCTGAGTCAACACTTGAACTGGTCAGGATCGAACTCCTGGCAGTGGGCAAAGTCAGCCTGCAATACTGCTTTCTTAACCACTATGACACCATGGCTCTTAGATAGAGATAGAGATGAATAGAGATGGACAGATGGATGGGTGGGTGGATGCATAGATAGATAGATAGATAGATAGATAGATAGATAGATAGATAGATAGATAGATAGATAGATATAGATAAATAGATGAGAGATAGATGAGAGAGAGAGAGAGAAACAGACAGACAGACAGACAGACAGCTCAAAAAAGTTTTCTCTGGCCTTTTAGAGCTGCCAGCAGAAAGGGAGTGGTGGAAGTAGTGCATTCTTTACATGCTTTCATAAATAATTGCTAGGTGGCCGAAGTTTCTGGCATGCAAGATTATTACTGGAGAGCATGACTGATTACTCTTGGCTATGGATGTGTCCCATTGGAGAATATACACCCAGGGGGTGGGGGAAGACCAGGGTCAAGGGTGAAATGAATGATGTGCCTCAGAGTCGGCTACACCCAGGTAGCACCAGCATGTTCACTCCTAATAAATCTTATTTAAACTCTGAGCAATGTGGCCAGAGACTCGTGATTTAAATGGGGGCGGATGCTGGAGTCCTGACAGACATAGAGACAGATAGCAATAGCAATAGCCCTTGGACTTACATACCGCTTCACAGTGCTTTACAGCCCTCTCTAAGCGGTTTACAGAGTCAGCATATTGCCCTCAACAATCTGGGTCCTCATTTTACCCACCTTGGAAGGATGAAGGGCTGAATCAACCTTGAGGTGGTCAGGATTGAACTCCTGGCAGTGAGCAGAGTCAGCCCGCAGTACTGCATTCTAACCATTGGATATCATTCATGGATGGATGGGCAATAACACTTGGACTTATATACTGCTTCCCAGTGCTTTACAGCCCTCTCTAAATGGTTTACAGAGCCAGCCTCTTGTCCCCTAATAATCTGGGTCCTCATTTTACCACCTCGGAAGGATGGAAGGCTGAGTCAACCTTGAGCCTGGTGAGATTCAATCTGCCAAATTGCAGGCAGATCATGGTTTTGTCAGTGACTAATTTCTGTGCAATCATAAAGTCCTTGAATCATAGGGTTGGAAGGGACCTTGGAGGTCTTCTGATCTAGTCCACCCCCCTGCCCAAGGCAGAAGCCCTCATACCATCTCAGAGAAATGTTTGTCTTTTCTTGAAGACCTCCCATTAAACCATTTTTCCAATCCGCCTCCATGTTTCCAGTGTCTTCCTCCTAGCTTGGAATTGAATCAGATGGATATTTCTCCCAACAGGTGTATCTTCAACAGGAGAAGGTAAGATGCTACTGTTCAGAGTAACCATCTCTATTGTGGATTAAGTCTGCTTAGAAGAAACTTGCATATCCACGGAAACCCACTTAGATGGAACTGGACATCTATGACCACAATACCCCTCCTCAAAAGACCCCTTCTCAAAAGGTTCCTACTGGGGGCTTCCTACTTCCTAAGTCTTGTCTCTGAAGGACTAGGGGACATCAACCAATGAGCTGTTCTTACCAAAATTGGCCGGGCATTGCTTTCAGTGGTAGCCATCTTCTTGGTAAGTTTCTTGATTCTTTTGCCAAACTCGGCATGACGGTAGCTAAGAAAATCTAAGCGGCCTTCAAAATACTCTGCCATCTCTTGGGAAGTTTCTGTGCGTTTCTGAAGGCCGTCCACCCGTGTCTCGTTGTAGAATTCCATCGTGCGCTCGGTCTCCGGTTCCATGGTCTTGTACATATGTGCTGGGAAAGCAAAGAGAGGTCCAGGATGGGATCTCCAGGTAGAGACCATACAGAAGAGCTGATGATCACATGACTATGGGGATTCTGCAACGGTTGTAAGTGTGGAAAATTGTCATAAGTCACTTTCTTTTGGTGCTGTTGTAACTTCCAACATTGGTCCAAACAAACTGGTGTAAATCAAGGACTATCTGTGTATTTCTTTTTAATCTGACTTTTTACAAAACACTCAAGGGAGTAGGCAGTGAAAGAACAGAACAGAATTGAATGGAGTGGAGTGGAATTGAACAGAAAATAGGATAGGATAGGATAGGATAGGATAGGATAGGATAGAGTAGAATTCTTAACTGGTTAAGTGTATTGGACACGTAAGAATTGTGTCTTCAGTGCATAAGTTTTCATTGTACATAAAAGCTATAAGTGATAAATACAGTCATAAAAATGCATTTATCATAAATCATAAGATACAACACTTACTGATAATCATAGGATACTATATAATCAAATCGTACTAGGAAACTAAATAAAACAATATAAATAATAAAGATACAAGTAACAAAAGTTATAGTCATAAGTAGAAAATGAGATGGGTAATAGGAAAGATAAGAAGAAGAATATTAATACAGTCTTACTAAATAGTTTGACAGTGTTGTGGGAATTGTTTAAAAACAACAAAACTATCAGAGAGCATTGAATTCACTGAGGCTGCTATTGGTGCTGCCATTTTGAATTCCTCAGACACACTAATAAATAGGAATGACAAAACAAGATTGAAAATACTGATGGTCCTTGTTTAGAAACCACCTCAGTTATAGTCCCATCTTAGGCATGAAAACCAGCTGGGTGACTTTGGGCCAATCACCAGGAGATGATGAGTTCTAGTCCCATCTTAAGCACAAAAGCCAACTGAATGACTTTGTCTCTCTTTCTCACTCTCTCTCAGCCCATCCCACCTCACCAGCTTGTTTTTGTGGGGAAAACAGACGGAAGGTGTATTAGCAAGTTTGTATAGGAGATGACCAGTCTGAGCCCGAGGGCAGGGTCAAACGCATCATCAGTTTGGAGTCTCTATGCCACCATAAGAGACCAACATCCAGGCCCCCTGGAAGTCTGTTGACTCTTCTTGCGTTCTAATTTGCCTTGACCCTTAGTTAGACCAGGTTCTTGAGAATAGTTTGTAGGAAATACATTCATAGTACTTTTGAACTCTATCCTGGCTCCTGATTTCTTGTGTCTGATAGTTTTCTACTTTAGTAATTTATAAAGTTTTAAAAAAAGGGATACAAATCAAATAAATAAATAAGAAGGAAGGAATGTCCAAGCTAAAGGCAGAAGATCTTTCTTCCCTTCCTTGCCAAGAATCAAGGCTCTTTGTTGTACGAGATACCTCTCAGGCCCAGGGCATGTCCAGGTAGGAATTGCTCTGCTATGATGTTGGTTTGCTTATTTAATTCTCGAATGTCCAACTTGTCTTCGCGGTTCTTGAACCACTCTTTCACTTCAAGCACTTTGGTACCTGACGGTGGAAAGAGAAGAAAAGACTGAGTGAAACCAGGCTTAATAGCAGTAACTGTGAAAGGGGGTCTTAGTGGACAACCAGCTAAATATGAGCCAACAGTGTGTGACAGCAGCCAAAAGAGTCAATACAATCCTCAAGTTGCATTAACGGAGGGATTCAATCAAGATCAAGTGAGGTACTAATACCACTCTATAAAGCCTTAGTAAGACCACGCCTAAAATATTGCATCCAGTTTCAGTCACCATACTATAAAAAAGATGTTGAGGCTTTAGAAAGAGTGCAGAGAAGAGCAACCAGGATGATGAGGGGACTGGAGGCTAAAACATATGAAGAACGGTTACAGGAACTGGGCATGGCTAGTCTAGTGAAGAGAAGGACCAGGGGAGACATGATAGTAGTCTTCCAATATTTGAGGGGCTACCACAGAGAGGAAGGGATCAAGCTATCTTCCAAAGCACCCAAAGGCCAGACAAGGAATAATGGATGGAAACTGATCAAGGAGCGATTCAAACTAGAAATAAGGAGAAATTTTCTGACAGTGAAAACAATCAACCCATGGAACAGAAGTTGCCTTCAGAAATTGTGGGAAGAGACTGGACTGCCATCTGTCAGAAATGGTATAGGGTCTCCTTCTTGGGCAGGGGTGGTGGTGGACTACAAGGTCCCTTCCAACTCTGTTAATCTGTAATTAGCTTGTGGTGGGCACAAGAGAGATAAGGCCCTCAGAAATGAAAGAATCTTGAGTGAGAATATTGATTTGTTGGTATTGTTTATTTTGGTGTGGACCCTTTGCTTCTTATGCAACTACAACCATATAGAATATAATTCTTTACTGGCCAAGTGTGATTGGACATACAAGGAATTTGTCTTTGGTGCATATGCTCTCAGTGTACAAAAAGAAAAAAAATAAAAGACATTAATATGAGCCTGGTGGTCATGCAGATCAGCAGAAGTGCAATTAAATAACAGCCAGGCTGGGGTTCCAGCATACATACTGGTGGCTGCATGTCTTTGCGAGAGGAACTATTAAAATTACGAGAATTAATAATAGACAAAAATTTATGAATTAACACATGAATTATTTTGTATTTATCTGCTCTAAAAGTTTATCAAGGGTTTCCAAACTTGGCCAATTTAAGACCGTGCTGGCTAGGTAATTCTGGGAATTGAAGTCCACAATTCTTAAAGTTGCCAAGTTTGGAGATCCCTAGTTTAAGGAAAAGTGGACATATATACCATTCTGACAGATTCTATATACACCAGGGATCTTGGCAACTTTAATGTCTGTTGACTTCAACTCCCATAATTGGCTGGGGAATTCTGAGCATTGAAGACCACAAGTCTTAAAGTCTTATAAAGTCATCTCAAGTCCAAAGGTCCAAGAATTTAATTCCTTTTTATTCTTTCTTTCTTTCTTTCTTTCTTTCTTTCTTTCTTTCTTTCTTTCTTTCTTTCTTTCTTTCTTTCTTTCTTTCTTTTTTTCTTTCTTTCTTTCTTTCTTCTTTTGTTCTTTCCATTTCATTTCTTTGTACTTTCTATTCTTTTTATTTTTATTTTTCTCACTTTCTTCTAAATTTGGTTTGCATTATCCTTTATTATTTTTAAAAACTCTTAATAAAAACTATGAAGGGAAAACAGAGAATTATCCCCAAACACTACATCAAACCGAACATGAATCATCTCCCAAAAGATCTTCCATTTTAAATCTACTTACAATCTGGATCTTCATACAATGTCAATCGGGTGATTAGGCCATTGACATTAAGATATGGTGCCCATTTCTCCAACTTGGCATTCTTATATTGAATCAGTTTCTTGCCTTGAGGACAGCGAGTCTCAAATTCTAGAGATAAGAACAGAGAAGACATACATGGTAAGAATGAGAAACTGAGGTTCTCCAAATATTGATGGAATATAATTTCTTTCTTTCCTGACTATCAACAGTCCTGGTCTGATGGTTAACTTTGGATGCCTGATTGACTCCAAATGAGTGATGGGGTGGTTTGGTTGAGTCTATGTGAGTCTATATGAAGACTTTGCAAGCAGTCAACCTGGTAAGTAGGTACTTACCAAGTTGACTGCATGCATAGACTTCATATTTCGTTGGCTTGGGAAATCATATTGAACTTTTCTACCTTACTATAACTATGCTTAGCTCTTCTATAATCCAATCCCTTCTTTGCGTCCTAAATATTGAACCTATCCCAACCCTAACCCTAATCCTGATCCTTCCCTTCCTAAAACCATGAATGCTAAAGATCACCTTCCCTTGGGGTCTAGCAAGTGAGCTCAACATGATGACTTTCATCTATGCTTCATCCCAGATTTCTTTTCTAAGGTCTCCTTGTTAAGTTGCAGAGAAGCTACCTCAGAGGGGAGGGGGGAGAAGGAGGAGGAGGACAAGGAGAAGGAGGAGGAGAAGGAGAAGATCCTTAGTTGTGTGCTCCCTGCAATTATAGATAGTTTGTTACAAACTGATGCCTTCTAAGATGGTTAGATCTTACTGCTATCACTTCCTTGCCAAGCTTGTCTACTGAAGACAGGTCAAGATGGAAGAAAAAAAGAATACCTTTGGGAGATATATGGATCTGCTCCACCCAAGATGCAGGCATGTCAAAACTCTTTGATTCATCTTCCTTCATCTAACCAGGATGCAATAAACAAGGCTGTGAGAATGCTCACCTACCAAAGTCCATGTTAACTAACTCCTGCTCTGCATTTGGAAGCCTGAATTACCTTTCTGAACAGAAATTCTTGCTTTATTTTCAGAAACTTTCTACTGATCATTGGCGGGCTACTTTTACAGCAATAAGGCATGCCAGAAGAAAGAGAGACAGCCCATGCATTTTGCCCTTGACTTTTGATATTGATGAAGATATTGGTGCAAGATTCAACCAATCAATCAATCATCAATCAATCAACCAATCAGAATATATCTGGGACCCTGGAAGACTTCTAATCCAACCCCCTGCATCTTCTGCTTGAGTAGGGGGTTGGACTAGAAGACCTCCAAGGTCCCTTCCAGCTCGTGTTCTGATTAAGTGGTCTGGATAGCTGGATTTCACAAACTCAGCAGTCAAACCGTTAGTATCAGGAGTCACGTTTGGTTGTCCCAGACCTTACCAAATCTTCCACATCATCTTCGCCCAGATCTTCCTCCTCCTCCATTTCTGGCAGGGACAACAAGGGTTTGTCGGTGCTGGGAAGCATGAATTCCCATCGCACAGGGTCTCCGAGATCAAACAGAAGATCCTAGAAGGGCAACAGATCCCAGTGAATTCTCCACTAGAAATAGTTCTGTTCAGACCAACATTTAGTTGGGCAGCTTGCCCCTTAAGGCCAAGTTAAAAGGCAGGATTTCTGCCCTCACCCAAAAGGTTCTTGGTGTTAAACTGAGGTCTGTGGTAGGAGATCAAGAAGTTGAAAAGAAGTAACTTCTGGAATTTTGCTTACGTGATAGATTTGGTGTAAACAATTTAGCAGAAATTTCTAGGG